GCATTTCTGTTTCTAAGATCTCAGTCTCAATTGCCATGTCTGCTGTTCCTAGCAATAGTTTAAGTGTGCTCTACTGTATATAGGGTTTTCGAAGGTCTGTCTTTTGGCAAGTGGATGGCCAGTCCTTCTTCCTAGTCTGCCTCAATCTTTAAATATATATAATAGTATCTGACAGATAAGCATTGCACAGAAAAGAACCAAAGAAAGACAATTGCCCAGTTACGACAATCACCAATAGATTCAATGTTACAGGCCACCGATGCTTTCTTACTCCACCACCATCTCTTCCTACTTTTCACTATTCAGAGGAAATCCCCTTGTATTTCTGTTTTGCTGAGTATTTTGACCAGGAAGATGTGTTGGATTTTGTCAGAGGCATTTTCTTCATCACTTAATAGGATCATACAGTTCTTGTTATTTGCTTTGTTAATGTGATTAATTAGGTTTATTGTTCAGGGGTTTTTTTTGTTTTGTTTTTACATTAAGCCATCCTGTTCAGTCCTAGCTGTTATGAATCCTACTTGGTCATGATGAATTGTTTGGGGTGGTTTTTGTTTGTTTGTTTGTTTAATGTACTGTTGGATTCTATTGACAGGATATTGCTAAGAATTTTTGCATCTATTTTCATGAAAGATATTCATCAGTAGTTTTGGGGCTTGGTAATGTCTTTGCCTGGTTTGTCTATTATGCTTCCTTCACAGAATGACTGTGGGAGTGTTCCTTCTTTTCCTAATTTTTTAAATAATTTGAATAAAATTGGTGATATCTCCTGTCTGAATGTTTTAGAACTCAGCTCTGAAGTCATTTGAGCCAGTACTGACTGTGGAAATGAGTCTGTCACCTGACTGCAGCCCCCCTTTCTTGAAGGCTATTGTCTTTCTCTAATCTGCAGTGACATGACCAAGTTCTCCAACTTTAACAGTTTCTGTCCAGGAGGGCTGCAGGTAGGATTCTCTGTGGCATTTTAATGTGTCAGCTTTGGAAGTGAATCGTTTTATTTCTTCTGTGACTATAGGTGTTGAAGGTGGATTCAAATAAAAGTAAATTTTTTACAATTTTTAACTTTTCCTTTTCACTTTATGCAAGCAAAGCTTGTCATCTTCATAACACATTGTTCATAAGTCTTTCTCCAATCTTAATACCTCTCTTCCTCTCATATAGTACAGCGTCTTAAATTATTTTCTCTGCATACAGACTGAAAAGGTAGAAAGGAAGGACATAGCCCTGACACCCACCTTTCTTGATTTTAAACTGTGCAGTGTTGTTGTTTTTGTTCTATTCAGATAACTTGGTCTATATAAACATTTTGCATGAGCACAATTAAGTGTTTTGGGATTTCTCTTCTTCTCTACACTATCCATAATTTTTAATAATCCACACAGTTGAATCTTTGCAGTCTATAAAATACAAGTAAACATCTTTCTGATATCCTCTGCTTTCAGCCAACGTCCATCTTGTATCAGCAATCATATTTCTCATTTCAGTCTATTTGTTTAATAGATGTAAATCAAAACAATGAGATATCATCTCACCCCAGATATCATAACAAAATTCAATAGGACAGCTAACAACAAATGCTTGCCAGGGTGTGGAGAGATTGAAATTCATAAACTGCTAGTAGGAATGAAAAATGGTGCAATCATTATGGAGAACAATGTGACACTTCCTTAGAAAGTTGAAAATAGAAATACCTCTTAGTCCAGAAATTCAAGTATATATCCTAAAGAAATAAGAGCTGTGATAAAAACTGATAAATATGCCCATGTTCACTACATCATTATTTACAATAGTAAAGAGATGGAAATAATTTAAGTGTCCATCAATAAGTGAATGGATAAAGGAACTAATGGTACATTGACACAATGGAGTATTATGCAACTGAAGAATGTTAGGGAAGTCAAGAAACACTACACAACATGGATACTCTAGAGGAAATTATGCTGAGTGACATAAGTCAGACCCAAAAAAACAATTGTGGTACAAAAATCACTATCATGAAAAGTTTTTAAAAGTTTATGCATAAAAAGACTCACCCTCGGATGGTTACCAAGCATGGGAAGGGAAGAAGAGTGGAATAAAAATTAATAAATAGAAAAATGATATGAAGGGAAAATAATTTTACAATGAGGCATTGATCAGACAGTTTAATTAAATAAGGACCTCTCTAGTGTTCTAAAAAGCAAGGATGTAAATTTAAAGACTAAGGTGTGCCTCGTCCAAACCAAGGTATTTTTCATTGTTTCCTATACATCTGAAAGTAGCACAATAAATAAGAAAGACTGAAGAAGAAAGTATAACTTTTATTGTGGTGTTGGCAAAAAAGTATTGAATATACTAATATACAAAAAGTATTGAAAAACTATCAAAAGAATGAATAAATCTGCTTTGAAGGAAGTGCAACCAGAGAACCCTTTTTAGGTAAGGATTGTGACATTTCATCTCACTTGAGCATATGTTCAGGAAGAACCAATTCTTGGAGAGAGTCGTCATGCTGAGAAAGCTGGAGGGTCTGGAAAAGAGGCAAAGATCCTTGATGAGATTAATTGGCACAGTGACTATCACAATGGGCTTGAATATAACAGTGACCTGACAATGGTTCAGGGTAGCACAAGGCTCAGATCTAATGTTCCTAGGGTCACTATGAGTTGTAGTCAATTCAATAGCACCTGATAACAATGTTATAAACTAAAATGTATGAATAATTAAATGGAAAAAAACCCATATAATTTGTAAAACTTTCACTTAAATCACAATTTAAATAAGTAATAAATGAAAAGACAAATTCTCTGTGTGTGTGTGTGTGTGTGTGTGTGTGTGTGTGTGTGTGTGTAAAGTGAGACTACTTTTTGTCCATTCCATTCAGGACTTTACCTAAATGTAAAGTGTTCCTTTTTTCACCCCCAGTGTTATATTTCTGTTTTATTGTAGATAAACAGGAGTCAGAGTGGAGGAACGAAAAAGACTCTGAAAACACCCCTGACATTTGATTTTCAGTTGGAACTTGACCAGCCTTTCGTTAAACAAACACTTAAGACAGTATCAAAGACCACAGAAGATACATTAAATAATATTAAAAAACAAAAAAGGTAACAGGCTCATATACCTCAAATTTTCAATTAACAGTTAAACCACTGTTGTAAATTTGTTATAAATGTAGTCTATTAGGTGTAAACTTTGTTAAATATTGATACATTTTATAACTGTTATGAGTTAAAGGGTTTTATATTTGAATTCTTGATATACCTAGTTCATAACAATACTTCCACTAATACAGATTATAATTACAAGTCTGAATATTTTTAAATTACTTTTCTTAAACTGTAGTATATTGCTGAGATTACTGCTTTATTTCAAACACTAATGAAATAATTTAAGAAAAATAGATGTCTGAAAATATAAAAAGGTAGTTTGTCTCTTTGTATTTATAAGGGATAAAATTAATATGACTCACTTGGTCTTTTCACTGTTTAATGTACACATTAAATATGTTTATATTGTATACTATACTTTCCCCAGCAATCATAAATGTAGAGGAGAACTAAAACAAAAGAACTGAATAGGATCAATCACAAATAAGGTCAATTGGTTACTGACAGTAGTGTGGGTGTTCTTGTCTCATTTATTCTAATTAGCAGCTCATTATGGTGGCCTCGAACCATGTGCATTTGGGATTATAGCACAGCTTCTTGCCACTAGGCCACCAGAATTCTCTAAAATATTTTCACAGATTAAAAGAATCCAAGGTCACACAACTAACAATTGATGTTGTTGTTGTTATTTGCCATCAAGTCGCCAACTACTCTTAGTCACCCTATGTACAACAGCTATGAATTCTGCTCTATGCTGACCCAACCTTATTGTCTCTGAGACACCTATTCCCATTACTCCAGGGAATGAGTCAATCCATCTCGTGCAGGGTCTTCTTTATCTCTTGCACTGTCCCTCCACCCTCCCAAGCATGATATCCCTCTCCAAGGACCAGTCCCACCTTGCAATATGTCCCAAGTATGTAGATGAAGTTTCAGAATCCTTGCCTCCAAGGGGCAGCCTGGTCCCCTAATTCACTGGCTCATGTTACCTCAAATATAGCAATATCCCCAATATCTCATGTAACTAACTTCTAGTATATTTTTCAGAAAATGTTTATTAGATTTTTAATAATGATTCTCACACAATAGTAGATAGTATCCTGTTCCATCTACTTTAAATACTGATTGCTAATGTTTTCTGCTCTAGCTATTACAATTTGTGCTATAATAACTAATAGATCAGCGTCTGAAACTATGTAACTGGGATTTCACCACATTACTATAAATTTAATTTAGAGATATGTTTTATAAATCATCAGATTATTTTAATTCACATTCATTTTTCTTTCTTCCAGATATGTCTCCTTCAAAGACAAGCCTGAATATATAAAAAGGCCTTCTGAAAAATCAAATTTAAGACCATACTTTGTTCCAACAAATGCAAAGCATCAAGAAAATAAATTATCAGGTAATTCTTTACGTACTATATTTGCTTCTATTTTGAGAGTAATGTATTAATTTAAATTTTTTTCTTGGAAACTTTATTCCTCTGTTAAAGGCATTTATTTGCATGAAAGCATGTGAAAAGAATTCACAAGGTAAAAGAGGAAGACCCTCAATGAGATGGATTTACATGATGGCTGTGAAAATAGGCTCAAGTTGTCTTAGATCATGAGGATGATGCAGGATGAGGCAAAGTTCAGAGTCCTTGTTTACAGGGTCGCTATGAGTCATAGTAAGCTTGACAGTAAAGAATAACAAACAACAATCAGATTTGGGATAAGATATAGTTACATAGTGACTGTGGCAAAGTGTCAGATGTGTTGGAAATGGTGAAATTGGCTTAGGACAAGGAAGGGTTCCGAGCTATTATTCCTGGTCAGCACATAACAACAATAACAAAAATCATTTTGTAGCTTAGGTTTGTATAAGCTCCCTTGTTTATCATTTGTTCTTATCAGTACAGCACTTGTCTTTCCATCTGCTGTATTGATAAAACTTGTGAGTTGTTGTAATGCTTGAAGCTATATCACCAGCAATGCCAGAAGGGTCACGCATGGGAGACATGATACAGCAAAGGTTCTCAACTAAGATAGACAGGAAGAAGAATTGGTTATCTTCTTCTGAATAACAGGCCTTTGAAAACCCTATGAACAACAGAGTAATGCAGTAGATAAACTATTAGAGATAGAATCCAGAGAAGAAAAGTTACTCAAAATAAGGAGAAACAGCTGCAAACAACCATTAATGATTGGAATGTGAAATGTATGGAGTATGAATGTAGAAAAACTGGAAGTTGTAAAAAAAAAATTAAATGGAACACATTGTTTTTGTGTTGTTTTGTGAGGTCAAGTTGCCTGTAACTTATAGCAACCCTAAATACAACAGCCCGAAACCCTGCTCTATACCATGCCAATATTATTGTCTCCAACACACCTATCCTCATTACCCCAGCCACTGAAACAATCCACCTCATCAAGGGTCTTCCCCTCCTGCACTGTCCCTCCACCTTCTCAAGCATAATGTCCCTCTCCAAAGACTGATCCCACCTTGCAACAAATATATCAGATGAAGCTTCAGAATCGTTGCCTCCAAGGAGCAGCCTGGCTTCACCCTCTGTAGGATGAACTTGTTTGTTCTCCTAGCAGTTCCTGGTATATTCAGTACTCTTCTCCAGCACCACAGCTCAAAGGCATCAATTCTTCTTCTATAATCCCTACTCATTGTCCAGCTTTCTGATGCATAGCAAGTAATTGCAAAGGCCATGGCATGTATCAAGCACACCTTAGAATCCAGACTAACATCACTGTTCTTCAGTACTTTGGAGAGGTCTCTGACAACAGACTTTCCCAATGCAATTTGTCTTTTAGTTTCCTGGCTGCTGGTACAAAGAATGTTGATTGTAGAGACAAGCAAACTGAAGCTGTTAACCTCAATCTCTTCTCCATCTATCATGATGCTGCCTATCGGCCCAGTGGTGAAAATTTTTGTTTTCTTGATGTTGAGCTTCAATCCATATAGAAGGCTGCAGTCCTTGACCTTCTGCACCAAGCAAGCAGGTTTCTGTCATCC